GTTATATGATAATTTGCCTGTTTAGGGAGTGAGATTTAGCCAAATCTTAAGAACGGTTTCTCAAAAACTAGAAATTGGACGAAAGTGTACAGATTTAAAATTAGATTGGTAAATCCCAAATCCGGAAAAGGAGATGAATCTCATCCTTTTCGACCACATCGCTACATAGCAGGACGCTCCACCCACCAATCCAGTGCCACCTTCATTCCTGGTCGCTCTGCCATCGGGGTCTGCCGGGCTTGCTCGCTGGGGTGAGGACTCTTTCTCCTCTGCCACCTCCGTCGCCCTCCTCTTCTCCAAGATGGGTTATCCGCCATTAATGGTCGCCTGGGAGTGGCGGACTATCTCGGATACCGGATTCTCCATCTCCGTCGCAACACCGGCAGTCACTGCTTGCAGCTCGCCCCTGAGGATATCTGCTCTCTTCCCTCTCTGACAGCGGCCATGGCTGAGGGCATCTCCTCCAGCCTTGCAAGGGCAGCGGTGACTAGGATCCTTTCCCCCTCTTTGACAGCAAGGGGCAACGGATCCACACTTCGTCCCACCCAAGGAGGTCTGTCACACCACCATCCCTCCACCTCTGTTCATAGGCAGCAGCTATAGGTTTGGACGAAGGACAACTCATTGTAGGCCTTTGGCTTCTTCCTCTCACCAATATTCTTAATTTTAACCTAGTCAAAAATGGGTGGGGCCAAGTACAAAATTAGCCCCACCAAGCCTTCAAGTCACCAAGTCAAGGGCAGTGAAGCTCCGATTTAATCCTTGTTGATCAAAAACTGTGTTTTAATCAGGGAAATCATCAACGACGACATCAATTTTTAATAAATAAACACGAGGTCTCTATTAGAATTTTTTGAAATTGCAGAATAGTCATCGGCGCGGACAAGTCACGGTCGTGTAGCATCGTTGTGAGGTCGTGCACGTTGTAATTATCACCATGTACGCCCGAATGCTCTTCACCCGCGCGCCCCTACGCGCCAAACACAGTTCAAGGTGTCGATCCTAGAAGTGACAAGCTCCAAAAACTGTAGGGGGCCTTGAACAAAGCAACTGTCACATCTCCTACATCCTCGAAGCTCAGACATGCTCCAGATGTCGGGACGATGCACATATACTCCTGAACATGAATCCATTAGCGTCACTATTGGATTGGGCCCATTAGCGTCACTATTAGTTCTTAGATTGGGCCAATCCCATGTAGCCTTTTATTGTTAGACTTGTTGTAATCGCCTAAAATAAGCCACGTGATCCTCCTGTAACCCTAAGTTATTTTCACAATACTGAAATGTTGCTAGTTTCTCTACCCGAGATATTTTATACCAACATTGTCGGTATTGGTAATTGGGTCTTGTTTGACTGACCGGTCAACCTAATGCCTTTCCTATGGCCCAACCTGAATGTCCACCACCATGTTACTATTATCTAGACCAAGATGAATATAATATGTGGTCCCAGGAATATCGGGTCGTCCCTGTTTCTAGTGTGGGCCCCACGCGCAAATTACTATTCGCGCAAAAGTAATAACAAAATTTACAACCTCGTAAATTCATTAACAAATTCTCAATGTTCAATACATATTTTACATAACAGTAAATATAGTTGGGGATGGTGTTACAAGTTCACCCCCCTCCCCCCTTATTTGGGATTTCGTCCCCGAAATCAACGTGTCTAATCGAAAAGAAACGGGTATTGCTCCCTCATTGAGACTCCGGTCTCCCAGGTTTCTTCTTCGACTCGATCACTCCTCCAAAGTACCTTCATAGTAGGAATCTCCTTGTTCCTAAGTTTCTTTACCTGTTGGGCCACTATCTTCACCGGTTCTACTAGACATTGCAAGTCCTCTTGTATCTCCACTGGTGGTTTCTCAAGAATATGTGACAGGTCCCATACATATTTCTTGAGCATCGATACATGAAACACATTATGAATCTCCTCAAGTTCAGGTGTCAACTCGAGACGTTAAGCCACGACCCCAATCCTTTCAAGAATTTCAAACAGACTAATGTATCGGGGTTAAGTTTACCCCTAGATATGAATCAGATGATACCTTTCGAAGGAGAAATCCTTAGAAAGACTTCATTTGTGACCTTAAACTCGAACGGTCTCCACCGTTGTTCTGCATAGCTCTTTTGCCGATCTTGGGCAGCCTTGAGTCTATCGCGAATTGTCTTCACCTTAGCCTTAGTGATCTCAACGAGTTCTATTCCTTTGAGCTTGGCTTCGCCAACCTCGTCCTAACATAACGGTGTCCTGCACTTCCTACCATACAATGCCTCGTATGGAGGCATGTCAATGCTCGCCTGATAACTATTGTTATAGGCAAACTCTACTATAACCAAATGTTTGTCCCAACTCCCTTGAACTCTAAAGCACATGCCCTAAACATGTCTTCCAAATTTTGTATCACACGCTCGGATTGCCCATCCGTCTGTGGGTGAAAAGTTGTGCTAAACTTCAGTGTAGTTCCCAATGATGCTTGAAACTTTGGCCAAAATCTGGATGTGAATCGTGGGTCCCTATCCGAGACAATGGATATCAGAACTCCATGCAATCTCACAATATCATACATATATAATTTGACAAATCTTTCAAGAGGATAAATAATGTTGATAAGCAAGAAGTGTGCACTCTTGGTGAGCCTATACACCACTACCCAAACTGCATTGTAGTTGTTCACCGTCCATGGTAGCCCTACCACAAAGTCCATGGTCACATGTTCCCACTTCCATTATGGAATGGTAAGTGGTTGTAAAAGCCCCGCCGGGTGTTGATGTTCCGCCTTAACTTGTTGGCAAGTAAGGCATCGACTCACATACTCTATGATGTCCCTCTTCATACCTGACCACCAATAACTTTCCTTCAAGTCTCGATACATCTTAGTACCTCCTGGATTCATGGCATTAACTGAAGAATGAGCCTCCTCTAGTATAGACTCTTGGAGCTCTTCAATCTTTGGTATGCATACATGATCCCTAAACAATAAGAGACCATTATCTCGTACCCGGAAATCCTCAACGGGTCCCACAAGAATCCATTCACGAATCTGCTGACATTCTTCATCAATGCCCTGACATCTGTTGATCTCATCGAGCAAGGTAGGTCTAACCTCGAATCTCACTATGAGGATCGCGCTCGTGGACACTTCCACATGCGCCCTTAATGCCCGTATACATGTGAGCAACGTCCCTGACGTACTCTTCCTGCTCAGTGCATCAGCCACCGCATTGGCCTTACCGGGATAATAGTCGATGATCAAGTCATAGTCCTTCATCAACTCCATCCATCTCCTTTGCCTCATATTCAACTCTTTCTTAGTGAACACATACTTCAAGCTCTTGCTATTAGTATCAATGTGGCATGTCTCCCCGTAGAGATAATGCCTCCAAATCTTCAGTGCGAACACTACCACCCCCAACTCTAGATCATAGGTAGTGTAGTTTACCTCATGTTTCCTCAATTGCCTTGTAGCATAGACAATCACCTTACCGATTTGCATCAACTCGCATCCAAGCCCTTGGATGCTAGCATCACTATAGACATCATACCCTATCTCTGGTAAGGGTAGGGAAATAACTGGTGCCTCGGTAAGTCGTTTCTTTAGCTCAAGAAAATCCTTCTCACACTTGTCGTCTCATATGAACTTAGCCCCTTTCTTTGTGAGCTTCGTAAGTGGGGACGCAAACACGAAGAACTTCTCAACAAACTTATGATAGTATCTTGTTAGGCCAAGGAAACTACGTATCTCTTTCACATTCTTGGGCCGTTCCCAATCAATGATAGCTTCTATTTTATCATTATCCACCACAATGCCCGACCTGGATATGACATGCCCGAGAAAACCAATCTTTTTAAGCCAAAATTCACATTTGGAGAACTTGGCGAAGAGTTGCTTCTTTCTTAGCCTTTGAAGTACCAACCCCAAGTGATGCTCATGTCCCTCCTCGTTTTTTAGTATATTAAGATGTCGTCGATGAATACAATCACAAACTGATCTAAGTATTCACTAAACACACGGTTCATCAAATCAATGAAAGTCGTTAGTGCATTAGTTAAGTCAAATGACATTACAAGAAACTCGTGGTGACCATACCTAGTGTGACACCGCACCCGAACGTCCTTGAAAATTCAAATTTAAAAATTTGAATTTTATGTATTGAATTTCTGATTCCCAAACAATTGTGAAACGATTGTTGTTTTACGTAATTAATGATTTATTATTATACTGTTCGAACTCGTATATTAGTATCGGGCCTTATTAATAAATAAAAGAGCCTAGCATTTTCTAAATAGTGATACATAACGTTTCAAGACAAGTTGAGGAGGGGCGGGCGGCCCAGATATTATTTTGGGCTCAACCCGCTAAAATAGCAAGTATTCGAGAATGGCGTCGTAGGCCCACTCGGGGGCGACCCACACGGCTTGTAGCCCAATAATATGAATGACAAATGTCAAAATAAGTGATAGGATGATTAAAGAAGAGCACAAATGCCTATAACCCCATCTTTGGCATTATGGAGCCAAATAATGGGAGTAGGATTTTCCTTCTATATTATCCATCAAGTAAATTATTGAGATGAGCCTACACATATTGGAGATCAATAATGTTATGTAGGAAGTTGACTTGTTCTAAATAAATTAGGATGAGTACAAAAAGACATCTTTGACAAAAGATAAAACAATAGGACCCATTCTTCCATTTTTGGGTGTATTGATAGATATTTTGGATCCCAAAATAATTGGGATCAATGGGGAACCACTCCACATGATATTAGCACTTGCAAGACAAGGAAAATATGTGAGAAGACTCACCTTGGCCGCACCACATGGAGAAGCACTGCCCATGACACAATTGGAATCAAATTTTGGGGCCACCACCACTGTTTTCGCACAAACAGGTGTGCTGTTTTGTCTCCCTTCATTTTGAGAGTTGTACTCGTCCAAATGAGGTGTATAAGGTGTCCTTGGATAGCCTTTGAAGTCTATTTTCATAATTGAGTGGTCTCTGTTCGAGAGGAGAGAGTAGTCATCCAAAAATCGATCTGAAGCGAGCAGTGGTCTGTGAACTCGAGCTGTGAGAGTGCTGAGACTGTTTGGTTGATATCTCGAGTTTTACCAATCCAATTAAGGCGTGTGAGATACCAAAAGAAAGCTCTCAAGACGAGGAATCCGTGAAGGTCTGGTTTGCATCAATCGGAGTAGAGGAAGGCTTCCAAATCGTCCGAGCAGAACGCGACCTCGCAGGAACGGATTTACTCTTCTAAGTGAGTTGTTAATCCCAAAACCTTTCCATTCATTTTCCAAATGATATGAACGATTGGTGGGACTATTATACACTACTCCAAGTGTATAAAACATCCCTATTAAGTTATTTTATTGATGTAAGGGTTAGATACTAACCTAGATGCAAATATTGGAAAACTAGGAATCGAGTTAGCCGGAAAGCACCCGTTCTAGGGGCTGTTTTCGTATCAACGATTAGGGGTTGAAATAGCAACTTGAGGAAGCTGTTTAACACCCATTTTCAAGCAAGGGATCAGTTCTCAATCTTCCTTGGCCGAGGCTTTGGTCATTGGATCAAGAAGGAAGGTTTTAAAGCTCATTTGAGGTGAGGATCGACATCTAGTTGCTTACAACTTGTAGGTTAAGCATGAGATTACCTAAATGCCTAAATAATGTTTTCCATGGATTATGATGATAAATTATTGATGGAATATTGATCTATTTTCCAAAGAATGAAATGAGAAATGATTTGGTAAAGTATTGATAAAAATGGAGTTAAATGAACTATTGTGTGAAATAGTCACTTTACTCATGTGTGAATTGTGTGGATACATAAATGATTATTTATGTATTACATTGAATGATTAAGTTGCTGCTACATATCTCTAAATATGTAGGGTTTTACAAATGGAATATATGATGGATAAGAGTAATCTTAATAGTATTGAAATACTAGTTAATGATTGTTGTAATTGTTAAGGAATTGAATCTATGGATTTGATTGAAATTGATGAACTTGATTGTGATGCAAGTGACTAAATTGATGTAATGCGATGCTAAGACCATGGTTGGGCAGTCCGTAAGGATGTCCCAAAATAGATTATTGATATTACAATTCTAGGCATAGTGAGTGCTTAGGAATTGGGGTCTATGCCAATGTAAGGAGATGTACTTGAGCCGTGCTCATAGAATTGCATTGGGTAGACATGATGAGGAGATTGTAGTGCTTAGGAATTGGGGTCTATGCCAATGTAAGGAGATGTACTTGAGCCGTGCTCATAGAATTGCATTGGGTAGACATGATGAGGTGATTGTAGTGCTTAGGAATTGGGGTCTATGCCAATGTAAGGAGATGTACTTGAGCCGTGCTCATAGAATTGCATTGGGTAGACATGATGAGATGATTGTTGTGCATGGTGATGTAGTCGAGTTGGACTCGAGAATGCAAACATATGTGTTAGGGTTGAACCCTATGTATTGTTGTGACTAGGGGTCACGGGATTTTGGGGTATGTTTGATGAACAAACCTTGGGCCTATGGGCCGACTACTTGACTTTATATATAAAGTAAGTATATTTTTAAAAAGGGGTAACTTGGGGTTACGGCCTACATTATACTATCACCCTATTTGAGGGTCTTGTGTTTGAAATACTTGTTGTATATCTATTAGATGCCATCCACACCAGCACTTTATAGCCCTATAGAGTGCTGACCCCTTCGGGGGCGTCCCACCACCATTTTTCAGGTTGAGGCTAGAGCTTGCTTCCTGTGCTCGTTGCTCGAGAGATCATCTAGGAGGGGAGACTTGGTTCGTGCTTCCTCCATTCGTTTTTTTTAAACATTAATAAACATGCTCATGGATATTTTACTATAGAGCCTGCGTGCTCATGGATAGCCCGGTGTGGCCTTTTTGTTTTAAACAATGTTTTCCGCTGCGTTATGAATTACTTATTATGTTTGTTTATGGATGTTATATGTGTGAATGATATTCATGACGCCTTGTATAATATGAATGTGTTGGGCTGCGGTTGACTATTCGTATTGTACGGCGGGTTGTTGACGTGTCCGGGTAGGTCCGGGGCGTGACAATTAAGTTGGCATCAGAGCCTTAGTCCATAAACTTCATAATGAAGTCTCAAAATTCTCTTTTCAAAATGATTTTTGAAAATCATGAGCAAAAACGTTTTGTACTTAAGAACTTTTGGTGTTTGAGTTGCAAGGTCTCTAATTGTTAAGATGGCGCCCTTAACGATTGGTATGGCGGTGACTTGGCCCAAGAGATGTCTTAAGTGCCTATCTGTCAGTTGACATTTGAAACGAGTCTAATGACTCATTCTAATTATTTCTTTCAGCGATGGTGGGTGATGGTGGTATTATGAATAGGGAGAACTCGGAAGGGCTTGCACCGGGTGGAACCGGGCATGTCAACCGAGAAAAGCCCTTAGGACCAAAGGTGCATGAAATTCTTGAAGCTCAAATCGTGAGTGGTGGTCATGTTAAGACCAAGGAAAAATCACCTTGTTATGGCAAAACTGAACCACTCAAGGCTTCGGGTGACGAAGGAGATGGTTTGAGTGATGAGGACCTTGATAATGCACCCATTGAACAAATGGGCATGGTCATAAATTGGCTTCAACGTGAACGTACAAGACTTATACAAAAACGCCAAGCTAGGCAAGCTAAGGACGCACCATTAGGAAGGAAAAGAAAATGGGGAGACCACGACCCCCAAGGACATTCTAGGAGGACAAATGTTGAGGGTGACAAAACCTTCGGGGTACACACATTATCGCTTGGGAGGAGTCGAGGCTCAGGTGGCCAGAACTCGAGGTCAAAAGGTTCGAGAGTACCTAAGTGCACAAATTGTAAGAAGCACCACCCGGGTAAGTGTTGGGACCCTCCTAGGTGCTACCGATGCAGAGAGATTGGGCACACGAATGCGAATTGCCCACAACTTATACCCGACCAAACTTTGGGCTCAAGTAGTACGACTATAGGCATACGGAGTCAAGCCGGGGCCTCTCGAGCAAGTAAGGAACATGGCGGAGCAAGTGTGAGCAACGCGCCGTCCGTGAATCAAGGGAGGACTCAAGCTAGGGTCTACGCGATGACGGAGGCGGATGCTCAAGCTAACCCGGATTCCGTTGCAGGTATTGCCTCTCGTATACTAGTGTTTTACCCTTAATTAATCCATAAATTGAGGTTACTAATCGCTAGGATCATTGCACAAGGTTTTGGGGTCAAACCGGGGGATTTCGGGCAACTTCAGGCGGCTGGGACCCAGGCACGATCGTGCCTAAGGCAGACACGATCGTGCCTCCAAGTCAGTAGCTGCCCAGGAATTTCCCCAGCCCAGGCACGATCGTGCCTAAGGCAGACACGATCGTGCCTACAAGGCAGTAGCTCCCCAGGTGTTTCTCCAAACCAGGCACGATCGTGCCTAAGGCAGACACGATCGTGCCTCCAAGGCAGTAGCCCCCAGGGCTTTTTCCTGAGCCAGGCACGATCGTGCCTACCCCAGGCACGCCGTGCCTGGCACCCAGATTGCGGAAGTGCGATTTTTTCGCACCGTTTTGCGACGATAAGACCTTTTCTTGATCCCTAACGTGCGGGTGAACATTGTAACCTTCTATAAATGAGTAGGGAGGGTAGGAAAGATGTCCTACACGATTCATGAATGTAGGAACACTAAGGATTAATGGGAAGGATGCGCGAATCCTTATCGATACCGGGGCGCAACGTTCATTTGTGAATGAAGCGTTCGCCAAGAGATTGGGAGTGCAATCCGCACCATTGATGCAAACCTTAGTGGTATCAACACCACTAGGGGACGACGTGGAAAGAACTTGTTACTATCCATCTTGTGGGGTGGAGGTTAATGGTCAAACCTTGACGTGTGACTTCGTACCGCTGAGCATGATTGAATTCGATGCAATCCTAGGGATGGATTGGCTAGAAAGGAACCATGCTAGGGTAGATTGCTACACGAAGGTTCTTGAACTCGAAGGCAATGATGGGGAGACCCTACGCTTCGAGGGCGATCGAGGGAGATCAAATAGCTGTATCATATCCGCCGTGAGAGCGAGAAGTATGATGAGAAAGGGATGCCACGCATATCTAGCATACGTGGTTGACAAAACCAAAGAAGAAACGAACATCGACGATGTGAGGGTGGTTTGTAAGTATCCGGATGTCCTTCCAAAAGATTTACCGGGACTTCCACCCGATAGAGAGATTGAATTGGTGATCGAGGTCGAGCCCGGCACCAAACCAATCTCCATACCGCCATACCGTATGGCACCCGTTGAACTTAACGAGTTGAAAACCCAATTGCAAGAGCTTTTGGATAATGGTTTCATTAGACCAAGCCACTCCCCGTGGGGAGCACCAGTTCTTTTTGTGAAAAAGAAAGATGGGACACTTCGAATGTGTATTGACTATCGTCAACTGAACAAGGTCACAATCAAGAATAGGTATCCTTTGCCTAGAATTGATGACTTGTTTGACCAACTACGAGGGGCAACCGCGTTTTCGAAGATTGACTTGAGGTCGGGGTACCATCAATTGAAGATTAAGGAAGATGACATACCAAAGAGTGCTTTCCGCACAAGGTATGGGCATTTTGAATTCCTTGTTATGTCGTTTGGGCTAACAAACGCCCCGGCGGCATTCATGGACTTGATGAACCGAGTATTTCATAAATACTTGGACCGATTCGTGATTGTGTTCATAGATGACATCTTGATTTACTCAAAGAGTGAAGAAGAGCATGAAGAGCACTTGATACTTGTTCTTGAGACCCTACGGGAGAAGCAACTTTATGCCAAATTTTCTAAATGTGAATTTTGGCTAAAGGAAATTGGCTTTCTCGGGCAGGTGGTTTCGGGATCGGGAATTGCTGTTGATAACAAGAAGATAGAGGCCATTACCGAATGGGAGAGACCAAAGAATGTCAAGGAAATTCGTAGTTTCCTTGGATTGGCAGGCTATTATAGGAAGTTCGTGGAGAAGTTCTCTGTTTTGGCGTCGCCGTTGACGAAGCTCACTCGAAAGGGAGCTAAGTTTATATGGGATGACAAATGTGAGAAAGGGTTCATCGAACTGAAGAAGCGATTGACTGAGGCACCGGTACTTACATTACCCAAACAGGGTGTGGGGTACGATGTCTATAGTGACGCGAGCATCCAAGGGTTTGGGTGTGTGTTGATGCAGGAAGGGAGGGTAATTGCCTATGCTTCACGACATTTGAAGAAGCATGAGGTAAATTATCCTACCCATGATCTGGAGCTGGGAGCGGTGGTGTTTGCACTGAAGGTTTGGAGACATTATCTCTACGGAGAGAAATGTCACATATATACCGATCATAAGAGCTTGAAGTACGTGTTTACTCAGAAAGAGTTAAACATGAGACAGAGACGGTGGATGGAGTTGATAAAGGACTACCATCTAGTTATTGAGTACCATCCAGGTAAGGCAAACGTTGTAGCAGATGCCCTCAGCCGGAAGAGTTCGTCTGGGGCATTGTTGACTAGTTTGAGGGCACTGAGGGCCCAATTGGAGGTATCTAGCAACGGTGCTTTATTGGCACGGTTCGAAGTAAGACCGACTCTACTTGATGAGATCAAGAAGGGTCAAGAGAAGGACACAGAACTTATGAAGGTCCGGGAACGCATGCAAGCGGGACCGGTGGAGGATTTCAGGGAAAGAGATGATGGTCTCTTATTATTTCGTGACCGAGTGTGTGTACCGGCAAATGACGAGCTCCGAAAGTCCATCTTAGAGGAAGCTCATTCATCGGCTTATGCCATGCACCCAGGGGGCACGAAGATGTACCGTGACATGAAGGAGAGCTACTGGTGGTCAGGTATGAAGAGAGAAATAGCCGAATATATCAGTCGATGCCTTACTTGTCAACAAGTTAAGGCAGAGCATCAGCATCCAGCAGGCTTATTGCAACCACTTTCCATTCCTGAATGGAAGTGGGAACTCGTGACTATGGATTTTGTGGTAGGATTGCCACGGACAATCAGGAACTATGATGCAGTTTGGGTCGTTGTAGATAGGCTCACGAAGAGTGCACACTTCTTGCCTATCAACACTACTTACCCACTTGAGAGGTTAGCCAAATTGTATACGGATGAGATCGTGAGGCTGCATGGGGTCCCAGTGACCATTGTATCCGATAGAGACCCACGATTCCTATCACGTTTTTGGCCAAAATTTCAGGGGTCTATGAGAATGAGGTTGAAGTTCAGTACTGCTTTCCATCCACAGACGGAGGGGCAGTCAGAAAGGGTTATACAGATCATAGAGGATACGTTGAGGGCTTGTGCATTGATTGGAGTTCCAAGGAAGTTGGGGCAACCACTTGACACTTGTGGAATTTGTCTGTAACAACAGTTATGAGGCAAGCATCGGTATGCCACCATGCGAGGCATTGTATGAGAGGAGGTATCATACACTGTTATGCTGGGGTGAGGTTGGCTTGACCAAACTCGAGGGTACTGAGTTGGTTGAGGTCACCAAATCAAAGGTGAAATTGATTCGAGAGAGACTCAAAGCGGCTCAGGATAGGCAAAAGAGTTATGCAGATAAGCGTCGAAGAACCTTAGAGTTTAAGGTTGATGACGAGGTATTCTTGAAAGTTTCTCCTTGGAAAGGAATCATTCGATTTCAAACCCGAGGAAAGCTTAACCCACGATATATAGGCCCATTCAGAATTATAGAGAGGGTCGGGGCCGTAGCATATCGTCTACAGTTGACTCCTGAGTTGGAGAAGATTCACAATGTATTTCACGTGTCCATGCTTAAGAAGTATGTGCATGATCCTTCTCATGTGTTGGAGAAGCCACCTGTAGAGGTACGTGAGGATTTGAACTACGCGGTTCAACCTATCAAGGTCACCGATAGAAAGGTGAAGAAACTGAGGAGCAAGGAAGTCCCAATGGTTAAGGTACTTTGGAAGAGCGATCGGGTCGAAGAAGAGACGTGGGAAACAGAGGCTTTGATGAGGAAGCAGTATGCTTTCCTATTCGAGTAGAGCTGTGAATTTCGGGGACGAAATTCCTGTTAAGGGGGGGTGAACTTGTGACACCGCACCCGAACGTCCTT